AGGAAGTAATAAACAATATTTATTTGACTCTCATTGAACGTGGTGCCAGCAAGTAAGCATCTTTAGAAGAAACGGTCACATTGACGAAAATTACAACATCGACTGTGTGGAAAATTGTGAATAATCCCATTTCAGCGAGGAAAAAAAGAAGCGATGCTGACATTTTCTCGAGTGTAGATGAAAGTGATCAAAATATAATACGGCGTAAAATTTACCAGTTATACGAGGAACAAAGCGTGCCTACATTAGATATCTTAATTAGGAGGCTTGAAAAAGATGAAACCGGTGTTAAATGTGGCAGAACTACCTTATGGAAGTACATTCAACACATGGGTTTTAGATTTAAAAAAATTGACAAAAGGCAAGTTTTAATGGAATCTTTTAGAATTCGGAAATGGCGACTGGAATATCTAGAAAAAATTAGGATGACTTGGATGAAACTTATGATACCCCGGAAAAGGGTTGGGTTGACTCAACTGATAAGAGTAAAACAAACGCGTCATCAAAAAAAGGTAAAGATGGTTGGATTCCAAATGGACTTTCTCTGTCTGCGAAAAATTTTAAAGATTCTTCTCTGGATTATCATGAAGACACCACCGCTGATTTATTTGAAAGTTGGTTTAAAAACAAACTAGTTCCAAACATTCCTCCTAATAGCGACATTGTAATGGACAATGCAAGTTATTACAGTAGACAGTTGACTAAAACCCCTTCCTCATGTGACACAAAAGCAACAATCCAAAACTACATGTATAATAACGACATTTATTTTCACGAAGATTATACCAAAAAGCAATTAATTGAGGTTCTACAAAGCTTGAACCTACAAAAGGAATACGTGTGTGATAATTATGCAAAAAATCTAGGGCATACAGTTTTAAGGCTTCCACCTTACCACTGTATTATTTAATTCCATTGAACATGTTTGGCACCAACTGAAATCTGCCATTCGTCGTAACAATGTTTTTTCCGTGTTAACTCCAATATCCTCAAACTTATAACATCCCTCCACAAAGTTGGGCAAATTCTGTTAAACATATAGAAAAAGCAGAACTAACGTATATCCATATTGCAAATAATATAAAACAAATAATAATTAGAACAGGCGATGACAGCGATAGTGATAGTGATATATTATGTGAATAATTTTAAGTAATTTAAGTACGTGATAAAAATAATTTGTAATTTTATTAATATTGTTTAGTATCTTTCCTAACAAAACCCCAAATAATTAAAATCTAAGCAAAGTACGGACCTGTTCGGCCATATTTCATTCTTCCAGCTTGCCCGGGCCTTTCCTTAATTCGTATCAGTTAGTCACTTTCTTATAGCTATGAACAGATTTTACATACTTACGAATTTGTGCTCTACACAATTTTCTTGAAAAGGTTGATACTTCATATACCAACAACATCATTCAATCAAGAAAATGTAGTAACTAAAGGAGTTCAGGATTTTGATAATTGTCCAAATTATTTCAATTCGGGTGCAAAAGTTAATTGGGAAGATGGAATGTTAGGTAAAGGAAAAGCTTAATTTTCAGTTGCTTCATCCTGACTATGAAACTGTTCTATCGTTCCTTCCGCAAAAGTATCTAGGTGATTTTCCATATTAAAAATACTTGGTGTCCCTAAGTTCTGGCAAATAGTAAATCGAAGTCGAAGTACCACAATGTTGTATAAGTATAAATTTCTCACGAGATAGAGCGTAAGCGCAAATGATTTAGAATTTTCTATGGTATCGATGCTTCTCAAAATAAAAATACATCCCTGTACTGATAAACGTTTGTAAATCGACTTTTTATTGGTTTATTGCTCGGTTTATTGAAGGTATAAGGCCTGCCGTTTATGATAGGCTAGCCTGTGTGTGCTGGACTATTCTGCATTGATGTGATAGGTCTGGTATTAGAATCTGACGGTTTAAGAGGCTCCCCCATTAGATGTTGGTTAGAGGTTGTATCTCCTCTAACATTTATTGACATTGGAATCTGCAGGTTCTTGCTATTTTCGCTTAGGGCGTTGTACGCGGACAAATAGTAGTTACGCAATATATCTTGTAAATTTCACCGAAAATTTACAAGATAGGTTAGAAATATGTAAGGAAACACAACTTCCATTTTAGCAATTTGCATTTCGCATGAATAATTCAGGCGAGGACGCCTGCCGCCGCGAGGACATGATAAAATTTGCTTAATTGTCGTAATTTTCCTCCAAAGGCGCGGCAGAAGTTCCGAACAGCATCTCGCGGATACGTACAGGCAGCTGTACAAGTTATAAGACGCTTTAAACAAGCGACGATAGCAAATCGTCATTTTCATATGGGTTTTATTAAGAGATTCGGAAAGTCCTCATTCTCGGGCGTCTTCTTCTAACCAATTGATTGGATATCAACTTTCTTTTGCTAAATCACAGAACCGATTCGTGCCAGACACGTGGTATAATATACATAAACAGAGATGTATCAAATCTGGAAGTTTTTCTTTTAACTTGAACAACGCTTCGTGCGTTTCGGTTCATAAAACTCACAGATGTAAAAGTTTCACTAATTATCTACGCTACCAAGAATCTAAAAGATATCTCTACTCAATTCTACTACAAATTCTGAGAATACAAATAAATCGATTTGCCTCAGTTGGTAGTTTGTTAGATACAAGGCGTCCACATTTTCAATTTTCTTCATTTATTAGTGGAAAAATGTAACAAAATTGTACAAGTTGGCTTAGGAGTTTGTTTTTACCTACGAGAATCTATATATTGTAAAATTGATAATGGTAATTAAACTTTCTAGAGACTTTTGACTCCGTTTTTGCCTATATATTTAAAACTCTACACATGATATTAACTTCTCCAAACATCCTATTTATAGTATTAAAAATAAATTATGAATAACAAACTCCCGTTATCCGTAATTATCAACTTTTGTTCAAGTCAGAAAATTTATGATTTAGAATTCTGTACACGGTGACGACCGAGTAAACTTCATTATCTCATTGGTTTCAAAAGTTATGCGAGAATGGTTGGGATGCACAATTTAAAATTATTTTAAAGTATACCCAAGAAAGCACGACGAAAAAAACACACATTTTTTCAAATGGAACAGCCTGTTTTTAATTTTTTTTTTAAGTCGTTTTGAAATACTTCAACTTTTTTATTTAAAAATTTTTGATCACTCATATTTGATATTAGCGTTATTCGATAATGACATAAAAGATATATGCAACGGAATTTGATTTATATGCTTCGGCGCGTTCAAAATAAACGAATATATTTGGATCATTTTAAATAAAAAATTCCAAATTTTCTTAAATGATACGCTATATATTATTATTAGTTTTTCTGGAAGATCTTACAAAAACCTACAACTTTTATTGAGAATGTCGAATACCTATTTTTAATACTATGAGATTTATTTTAACTTTTCTAATATAGACCCATCTTTCTGTCTAATACTACTGCTGTATTGATCGGTCATGACAAAACTGTTAGCCGACAGAGCTCTGTTAAGATTAAAAAATGAACAGGAGAAAGAACTTTGTTTTAGCCATAGATAAGGCAACAAATATTTATTAACAATTTTGGTAAAAATAACCACTAAATTTTAAATTCAAAGTACAGGGAGGCCTTTTTAGGAGGGGCCTATACCTTATCTCGAAACCTACGGGGGTTACAAAAAAAATTAAATACAAAAATTGTTTCTATTAAAATGACCTTAATTTTTTTCCCAATTGTCACTTTTGTATATACAGGGTGGTAAAACAAAGTAACATTATTTTAAATAGAACATCCTACATTTTATTGCATTTTTGGGTAGTCCTTTCAAAGGCAAATTCAACGATATATTCCTATAACGTACTCATGTATGGGTCTGTCAGGATTCGTTTCGAACTTATTGGCGATCATCTTCACAATTCAGGTTATGTTTAAACCATCATTGTTGGGTTGCTTATTAACTTTTTAAACCTTTTTCCATCTTTATTTTCACGAAAATAATGCTTTTTTTGCCACCCTGTACATAATAATAAATAGCAATTACTTCAAATTAACTTATCTTATTTTTATTATTGCGCAATAAATGTTCAAAAATACGCCCTTCTACTTGCATAAACATTTTTAGTACATTTCGTATATTTTCTTGGACTTTCCTTAGCATAACCGGTGCTATTCTCCTGCACGCGTCCCGAATTCTATTTTCTATATCTTCTGATATTGTATGGGATTCAGATAAACACGATCTTTAACACATCCCCACAAAAGGAAATCCAGTAGTGTTAAGTCACATCATAGAGGGAATATCCAATGTATCCACCTTTGCCAGCAATAGCAATAGTCTTAGACAGAAACAAAAGTAAATTAATGAAATTTAAGTATTAAAAATATAAAAATCTTAACAAAAATTTTTGATTTTTGTAAAATCTTTCAGAAAAAATATAATATAATACGGTGTGTCATTTAAGAAAATCGAGCTATTTCAATTTAAAATAATCCAAATATATTCGTTTATTTTGAACATCCTATGACATACAATTCAAATTCTGTTGTATATATTTTTTACGTCATCTTCAAATAACGTTAATGATAAATATGAGTAATCTACTTTTAAAAATAATGGCGCTATCGTAATTTTTTTAAAATTAAAATATTATAGAAACTATTAGGTTGTTGTTGATATGTATTATTTAAAATTAAAAAGTTGAAGAATTTTAAAAGGAATTCAAAACAAAATATTCAAATAATGTTTTATTTTATATTTTAAATGTATGTTTCATTCGCCGTTCTTTTTTGAGCCACCGTGTATGCTTTTAAATAATTTTAAATTGTGCATCCTAGCAATCTTTGCTCCTGTGGTATGTACCATTTTCTCATAACTTCTGAAACCAATGAGATAATGGACTCTAGCTATAACTGGAATGCCCGGTATAATAGGTACGTAAAAAAAGAGGCCATTGTTCGAGATTGGATTCAACTCGGCAAAGTTACCGATCGCCACCATTTGTATTTTAGGTCGACGATTCGGAATGTGCCGGTCAAAAACCGTGGCATCAGGAACCTTGCAACAACGCAGACTGCCCCACGTGGTTCACTACGAAATGGTCGGGGGTAAATTATCAAATACTGCGCAAAGCAACGAACCCTCGACGAATCTCTTTTCTAGTGTTCCGTGTCCTGCGGCGAGGGAGTTCAAGTCAGAGGCGTCGAATGTAGGGACTCCGACGATCAGCCAAGCTCTCTCTGCGACGCTCGATCCAAACCGGAGTCCACGCAAGTTTGCTCGACCGGCATGCAATGTCCTTTCCAGCTGGACACTAGCGACGAACTGATGCCCGGTTTGTACCACACCCAGCCGTTGATGCAACCCTACCCACCACCACCTGTTCCGGAACGTTTGGTGGGCGAACAGCTGGTACCATCGGAGAGCACGTAAGTTCGATGTTCGCTTGTTTACGACGCTCACTCTATTTGCACCATTCACTCATCCTTGATGTCTTCACGTTGCTTTTATTGTCGTGATTCTTCGTGTCACTGGCCCTACCTAAATACCGCGTGACCCATTCGAATCATGGTAAAATACGCATATTTGGAATTTTTGCTATACATGCCGTTAAGGGTAACTATTTAAATACAAAAAGTTAGTCTGCAAGGCCTCCGTCCGTTGATGTATAGTCGACAAACAATATGTTTTATATAATAGTTCCTGTTCATTGGCAAAATAATAATCATTATGGCTTAAAAATTGATATTTGCAATCTCAATTTTATTTTAGTTAGACCTATAGAAGGCCCACCGCTGTCACGCTTCTCTTTTGAAGTCATCACTTTTTCCACGTAACTTTCTAATGAAAAGTGAAACGACGTGTTCCTTTTTCGTCAGTGAAAGTGATTATTCCTAGAGTTGGTGTAGGTGTTTTTGTTTTTTTTTAGTCATGTTCTATTTCTTTTTCTTTCACCTTGATCAAAAAGTTACCGGAATTTAATCAGAAAATTAAAAATACAAGTTGATTCATTTTAATCTACATTGTCGCTATCAAGTAATCCCCATTGACTGCAACACACTTACGCTAGCGCTTGATCCAATACTCGAAACATTTTTTATATTGGGTTTTCGGTATGTCCATGGATGCATCCTGCGATTTTTCCATTACTTCCTCTCTATTAAAACGGGTTTCTCGTAGAAGTTTTTTGACTCGATGGAACAGAAAAAAGTCACCGAGAGCCAAATCATCTGATTTCATGTATTTTTGCATTGTGTGAAGGTAACTTATCATTTTGAAAAATCCGCGAGTTTTCTGCCCACAGTTTTGGGTCTCTTTCGACGAATTTCTTATCGCAAACGTCTCATTACGCCCAAATAATACTCTGTATTTACTGTTAGGCCTGTTTTTTTCATAAAATTAAGGTCTTTTGACACCAACTTTGTCGGTACACGACGGAAAAACAAATCATTAACCAAAATGTCTCCATAGGCAATATTGAACTCCTCCGCTACCTCTGTGAATGTCATCAACAAATGTACCAACTTAACAAAAAAAAAATAACTCAAATCAGAACAATAAGTGCGCTACAGTGGACCTTCCGGAAACTTTTTGATCAAGGGGTTATATACTAAAATCTAATTTTTTATATCCTAGCTAGTTAATCATCATTCAATCGTTTTTGTGTAAAGATAACATTCTTACATTTAGAAAAAATAATCTGTCTAACCCCAAATTTAACATCCTATATCTCGAAGACGAAGGTCTTGCCTACCTACGTTTCTACTGGGCGTCGTAATATTAATGGTATATACTAAAACCGCAGATTCTTTAGATAGACATATTAAGATTTAGCTAAATTTTGTTTAGTTTATTTCAATAGTTGATAATAATCGCAATATTCCGTATCCAAGTAAAAATTTATTTTGAACTCAGAGGGCGTACTCTCCACTACTTCGATATTTACGTTTTTATTGATCACTTTTCTCATCATTTTTTCAAGACAAATGTTACTTCGAACAACTTTTCGAGAATTGGCATTTACATCTTCCAAATAATATATTTAGATATCCAGAAAAACAATTTTTCAATGTTCAAATGTTCAACCAAGTTTTAAAAAAATTTATCTAAATATCTAAAAATGTTGAATAATTTAAGAAAAGCATAAATTTTAATTATAATACAGTACTTTACACTATTATTCCGCTACACGTAAAAATATACAGTGTGGTCGAAAAGTCGTACCTAAATTAAATACTGATTAATAATTTTTTTTTAGAATGACGTTAGAACATTTTTAATTTAGTTTCTTACTTGTTCACATTTTTACGTAATTCATTTATTTTTCAGTGACAGTTATTAAAACCTATTTTAACAACACCAACAATGTGTATTATTGAAGAAAAACATAAAACAGTTCTAATTTTAACCTTGAATTATGATAATGTATGTGTAATTACAAAAACAATATTACAAAAAGATAATCACAAATATTTTAGGGAAAAGGGGTAAAAACGAAGATGAGATATTGATATTTGAGTACTTTGAGTATTAAGAATTTCGCAAGTATAATCTTATTATTTATGGCAATAAACAAGGAGAACTTTTTATGACAAGTCTTTTTATGGACTATTGAAATTTGTACAGTTGCGTCTATGAAAATCTAGTACAAAAACATATCTCATAATTCCTGGTCTATTATAAAAAAATCTGATAACTTTCTGTGTCACAAATTTTTAAAATGACACAGCGCAAACACAGGTTTTAGACTGTCATGTATTCTATATGTCATCCATTAGTCAAAAAATACTTAATAGTCTAGGATATAAATATTTCTTTTTTGTCCCAGTATTTCATAGCATTTCATTTGTGAAGATATTGGTATGCAAGTTTAAACACGAAACTAGGGAAGGAGTATCTAAAAATTAATTGCAATAAAAATAAAGATTTAGATTAGATTGGGTGGTCGGAGTTGGCAATTTCTGACTTTGTCACTGAAACCTAGCTAGATTTATTGTAACTACTCCAAACTGTCTTATGCCCTTACTTATAGTCGTGAGTTATATCACACTCGTGCTTGAGCACGACTTAAAATGTAAAATTTCCACCAAAAAAGCAAATGTAACGTAAAAAGCTTTTGCTCAAGCTTTTCTTAGCTGACAATATATAACACATTCGACTATAGTATAGTCGGAATCTTAAATTTTAAGTAGGTATAAACTTGGCCAAGTTCGACTTAAGTTTTAGATGCGACTATAAGTATGGGAATTAGAGCTCCTTGTCTAGAAGTTTCTTCTTTAAGAACTTAATTAATCCCAGTAACAACAACAAAAAAAAGATAAGGTCAATAATTATTTATTGAAAAAAAGGAAACCGAAACAGGTACGCTCAAGTACAGAAACCCTTAATTATCTCGAAAACTGCCAATATGCTTCGGGAGTTTTACGCGTCAAAAGCGATGTTGCGAAGCTTAATAATAAAAAGAAAATTTTAAAATTACGACACCTTACTAAATTGGACATGCGCAATTCATGCAACAATAATGGCATTAAAATAACAAAATGATGACGTGTCACGTAAAAGCTGTAAATCTGGCAACATTGACATTAGCATTTTTGAATTTTGCATGTTCAAAAACCCTACAATAGTAAATTTTACCAAAATTAAAAATATATACCAGCACTGACAGCACTTCTTAAAAAATAGATACCCATTAAAATCGCAAATTATCGCATAAATAAGAAAATATCTCTTTTTAAGGACATATGAAATAAATATAAAATAAATAATGGGAAGAAATGTACTTTTTGTCCAAAGAAAACGAAACATTTATGTATTTTAAGAAGTAACGCCATTGTGACATTAAAACAATTCATAGATGATAATAATTGCATAGGTAATAATAATTATATGCTTGTACTTACCACTAGCAATAGGCTCCATACTATAATTTTATTATTGTTCACCAACTTTCTCTGATTAAATGAATACAAATTAATAAACTTTCAAGTTTCAATAACAATATGGCGCGTAGCAACGCTAATCAAAACAAAAGTTTGTTTATTTATAATTGTCAGGTAACTAGATTACTGAAATGTGATGGTTTAACTCAAGATTTTTAAGTTGGAGTTTCTGGCTTTTGGCCAGCTTTTGAGGAAAATTCGCCTGTGTGCGCGCGGTAAAATCTCCGAAAACATCCGATTGCTCCCAAACCCGTGCGGTAAAATCCCGGAAATGTCCGAAGTGGCTCGGATCCGTGGGAAAGAAAACTGACGTGGTAGAGTGACGCTTCCCGCACGCTAGATCCGTGTATAATTAGGCATTTTACAGACGGGAGCAGAAAAAATAAATTATTTTCATTGCTGTTCAATTCATTTTTCGGTTGCGCATTTGTGCCCAAGGAATCTGCAGTTTTAGTGTGTGTACTTGCTTTGAAACTTAATTTGCAGAAAACTTTTCGAATCGCATTTGCGAGTACACTCGTAGTTAAATTTCCTCTATTATCAGCTAATTAATTAAACTTCTTATCGTTAGGATTCGTTCGTTTAGTATCGCAAACAAACTCCCTGAAACGAATTCTTCAAGATTTATCGACGTGATTTATACGCTATCATGCCGACGGCGGCGCCACATTTCTCATTATACCGCTTAATTTTGTTGTTGAGTATTTTGTCGTTTTCCCTCCATGTGTCTTCGTTGTCTATTTTCAGCGATTACAAAGTGTACTTTGCCTGCGGTTGGGTGTACGTGAGGTACATAGTCAATTTTACACGAGACCACTTTTTTTACATCACCGCCTTTCCGCACGTTATTAGACACGAAAATATATTGTAGTACAAGATTCGTCCCAAATATTTCAGAAAGCTAGAGGTAAAGTCTGTTCATAGACATAATAAAGTGACTAACTGATATGAATTAAGGAAAGACCCAGGCAAGCTATTAGAATGAAATATGGCCGAACAGGTCCGTACTTTGCTTGGGGTTTTGTTAGGAAGGATACTAAACAATTTTTATTTATTTATGTATGTATTTATGTTTAAATCTAAAATAAAATTACAAATTATTTGTGTGTTGCTTTTGTGTCCCATGAGGAAGGTGTCAACTGTCTACTGTGACAACTTGCAATGTCGATTACAATTCCGCTATTAGGAGGAATTTTTGGAACTAGTTTGATTTTAAACCAACTTTCAAATAAATCAGCGGTCTTGTCTTCATGGTAATCCAGAAAAGAATCTTAAATATTTTTGCAGATAGAAAAAGTCCATTTGAAATCCAACCATCTTTCGAGCCAGTATGCAAAATAGTTATTCTTTTACCTCTTTTTCATGACGCGTTTGTTTTACACTTATCAGGTGAGTCAACCCAACCCTTTTCCGGGGTATCATAAGTCTCGAAGCAGGTTTCATCCAAGTAAATAATTGGCCTTTGTTGTTCCCTGTAAATCCTAATTTTTTGTAGATATTCCAGTCGCCATTTCCGAATTCTAAAAGATTCCATTAAGACTTGCCTTTTGTCAATTTTTTAAAATCTAAAACCCATGTGTTGAATACACTTCCATGAGGTAGTTCCGCCACATTTAACACCGGTTTCATCTTTTTCAAGCCTCCTAATTAAGATATCTAATGTAGGCACGCTTTGTTCCTCGTATAACTGCTAAATTTTACGCCGTATTATATCTTGATCACTTTCATCTACACTCGAGAAAATGTCAGCATCGCTTCTTTTTTTCCTCGCTGAAATGGGATTATTCACAATTTTCCATACAGTTGATGTTGGAGTTTTCGTCAATGTGGTCGTTTCTTTTAAAGATGTTTGCTTGCTGGCACCACGTTCAATGAGAGTCAAATAAACATTGTTTATAACTTCCTTAGTCTCAATCGAATAGTGTTTTCTACATTTGGGCGGGAGCATCTCCTGAGATGCACTAGACTCGCACATATTTCGCATATTCGCACACGATTCAAAACACGCTGTATTACACACGAAATAAGAATGATTACTCATAAACTTAAACTATGCAGTATACCAAACCAAAGAATATTAAACCCAGGTAGGTATAAAATTATTTTCTATTACGGACCACAATTTTAGCTGAATTTAAATTCCGAAACTTTAGGTATTAATCTTGTTGCAATGTATGTTAATGATGATCACTCTTGGATAATCCCATTGAAAAGCAATTGGTCACTTTCTTATATTTATGAACAGACCATAACAGCAGTTTAACGGCCGTCCCAACGACCTGCTCTTTAGCTTGGAATAACTAAGGAACAACTAAATTTTAAGCACTGGTCAGGGCACATCTATACTTCAGTTTGTTGCTATTCCTTTTTTAAATTAAGAAAATTTAGAACAAAATTGCATTTTGTGTGTATCTTTATTTTGTTCGTTTCATTATTAAGTAGTATCAACCACAAAATTAACGAAGACGATTACAGTTGTAATGCTGTTTTATTCATTATACTTCCAATTTATCCTAAAAGATAAACAATTACAGAAGAGTGGAAGTCGGGAAATCATAAGACAGTGAAACGTCAAAGGAAATTTAGCATGGGCTATGGGGCACTTAATAACTCCAAAGGAATATATTACATATGGATGTTAATACCAAGAGACACTTTGACATTGAAAGAAGCATGCAAAAAAGCTAAAAATATTTGCAATATGTTATTATCCTCAAACCCTTTGTACCTATTAGGGGCCATAATAAAGCATAAATTTATAAAGCTTATGTTATTTTGGTTCATTTTTTTAATAAAAGAAAAGAAAGAAAGAAGAATAATTATTTACAAAAGAACTTTAAATAAGTAGAGATACATAAATAGTAAACAAGAAAAAAGCTCACCAACATACATTAATCAAATATTATATACACATTTCTTAATAATTTTTACCGCAAAGACTTGATAAAATCAGAACAAATCATATGGATCATAACTAAAAACTTAGTGAGTTATAACAATATAACAATAGATTGACTATTTATTCAGTCTACTTATTGGTGGATATAAAATCTCAAACTTTTGCTCGAAGATGAATCAGAAGAAATATTTAGAGACTGATGAACTTCCATTGTCTCTATGTCTTGTTTACGACACGTTTCGGACAAATCTGTCGCTACCCGTTATTAAATGCAGACTAATGTTAATTCTTAAATTCTCATACACTTAATACACCAACGTGCCCTTGGAGGAACCATTAGATATTGTCGAGGCCAGATTTAGGAATGATACAACACTTCCAGATAGAACTTCGCTTCCGCTCGAGAAAGTGCTGTGCTCTAGGTGCTGTCTTTCAAGTCAAAGATAAGCTTTACGCCAATTAATGGGATCCCATCTCTCTCCGTTGGTAGCGAATATACATGGAATGGTTTAAAACTCATGCTATAGATGCGGCAATCGTTAAACTTAGGGCGTGGTTTCGATATATTAACGATACTTTCATTATCTGAAATGGAACCAATAGACAGTTAGATTCCTTTCTCAGTCATCTTAATTCTTTGCGACCGTCCATTAAATTTACCGTTGAGAAAGAGAAGAACGGCTGCCTATCGTTTCTAGACATCCTAGTATATAGGAAAGCTACACATACCGGCCAGTATTCAAATTTCGATTCTAACGATTCTGAAGCAAACTAACTAGGAATCATCCAAACACTCTGCAAAAAAGCAATCACAATATGCAGCGACGAAGCATCGCACGTTGTAGAATTAAGCAGTATTAAAAAGGATGTGCTTCATAATGGCTACGCTCAAAAATGTATTGACAAAACATTATCAAATTGCAAATGGAAAGCCACAGCAGAACGATGTGAGGTAGATACTCTCTCTATCGACGATTCCATATATGAAGGAAATCTCGGAAATGATCAGTCGAATAGCAAAACAATAAAAAGTTAAGACTGTATTCAAGTTCGGGACGACATTAAGGAGCATACATTCAAGAACAAAACCAGAAACATCGACTCAAGAGAAAGACAAAGAGCTTATCTATCAAATACTTTGGTGTTGGAAAACATAGGAAATACAACAATAAAATGGCCCGAAACTTGGTTTGTCCACAAGGAACCGAATTGGAACAAGGGCAATTTTAAGGAAGCTGTATTAATTAAAAACAATGAAAACATCTTTAGCAATCCAATCGTTGAAATGTCTACAATCTGACAACTCTTAATAGGACGCACCTATAATGGCATCCTAGCCTTAGCCTTAGAATTAAACGTTATGTAAACAATAAATAAAGACAATGGAAGTTCCACAATCTCTTAGTATTATTATAAAATCTCGGCTGCTGAATAACCCATACTTTTATTTTCGTTGTATATTTGTTGTACGATGTACAATTGTGAATCACTTCAGATACCACGGCAGTAAGTTTTGTTACATACCTGACCTATAAACTTTTCTCTTCTTGTTACTCGCAGTTTTGCCTTCGAGATCGTGTCGAATAATCGCGAACCAATAGTGGTAAACTTTTCCTGTGTTTCTAAAAATAATTCCCAATTTTGACAAAAAATAATTATCTAACAGTTCAAATCTTTGCCAGCGTTTAGCTCTGTGTTCATTTCAGGATACTGACATGTGGAAGACAATTTTATCGCATATTTTTTAAACCCTTTTAGGTGAAATTTCGTTAAACTACAGGGGACCACTTTAGTTAGCAAACGAAAGTTTGCTTGACAACTAAAGTCCCCCTCCCTTAATTGCAATATTACCTAACATCAGGTGACCTTTGAAGAGGTTGGTTGAAACGGCTGTTAATCACTTAATCTATTAAATTTTACTAAGCAATATAAGGGAAAATGTTGTACTTTTTTCCTGCTCGACTTCTAACAGCTAATGTGCTACAAATTAATGTCGTAAAAAGCGACTACCGCAATTCGTTAGCATTAGGTTTTAGAAGTAATTGCTGGCTACCTTAACGCACTAGCAATTTTAAGCACACTCTCACATTTTTCAAACTTTTTTCCACCGCTTTGTCTGTAAATGTGTATCACGTGTTGCGTTTTTCACTATCGCTTTCGTTCCAGCTGCGTACTGTCCTTTTTTGCCTCTATCCGGCGTTCAAACCCTGCTTCATGTCGTAAGTTCAAATATGTATATGACACTGAATTGCCGACAGAGTTTGTGTTGCTGCCATATTTTCCCGGATGATGGTTCAATTTTTTTTTTCGTGATAATCTTAAATTTGAAAGAATTCATCGAAGGCGACGATAAAAATGAACCACCACACGTAAAAAAAAAACACACTAGCTCACCCCCCAAATCGCTGCACCCTTTTTTCTACCGATTTTGCCGAACCGTACCGAAACCGTCTGACATATTCGTTCGTTTCAGATTTATTCCAGACGAGTGGGGGCCTTGTAGCGCCACTTGCGGGGAAGGAGTGCGCAAGCGCGAGGTGCACTGCAAAATATTTCTCGAATTTTCGCGAACGATTGCGAAACTGCCCGACAAGCAATGTTCGGGGATCAAGCCGATCGAAATCGAAAAGTGTTATCGGGAACCGTGCATGAACGAGAAGCATGCCATGGATATAAAGGACGATCCGAGGTCGGACAATATCAAGGTTGGTGACTATATGGCGACCACGAGTATACCAGGAACTATATCCATTCTAAAAAAGTTTTAAACCAAGTCCCCACATAACACTGCTCTTGGTTAGTCTCATGGTATATTTATGTTAAAATAAACTTATACAAAGGTAAAATAATGGCAAATGCATTTCTACACAGGAATTCTTAACTCCTTAATTTTTTTGTTTATTTATTCAATGGTCCAAGAAAATTTAGAAATTACAATTAGGCGATTAAGATCTCCAGCTTTGGAGAGGAAAAAACCTTCAAAATCCATTTAGTTGCAATATCATAACACCAAGAAAACAAAAAAATGTTAATTCAAACGATGCTAAAAACTATAATTATTATAGGAACCAGCTATTATACAGCCCAAGAATGCGTGAAATGAATGAGTTTGAGTTGATGATTTCGTATATTCGTTCAAGGTCCCTCTGCTTCCTTCTATAGGAACGGGTTGACAAGTTTAATGCTTTGAATCAACACTCATGGAAACATGTTGATGCGGCATACCCATCGAACTTGCTAACGTTGATGCTAGTTCATTCTCTTGTGTTCCTTATCACTAATCCAATTATCCGGCGTGCTTTGCTAATCGCAGAATCAACATAGGACGAACAATGCAACCTTTTAACCAGCAAAACGCCCACACCCCTGAATTGATTCAAATTGTGGACTACAGCTCCAACACCTGATAAATATGAGGATGAGACCGAAGAATTTTACCATGAGTGACAGAACGGGTTAAAATCCTGAAGAAAAAACATGAAGTAAATATTGTCGTGCCAAGATCGGTCAGAGAAGAACAGAAACCGGAGATTTCGAGCTGGGAGTACATAATGAGAGAGCTGATCTTCTTGTTGAATTCCTTCAAGATAATGAATTAGTAGTGAAACCACCACACAGACGACTTTATAACTAGCAATTAACCAGGACTCACCGGAGAACATTGTTAGAAACCACACTGATTTGATCTTAATGAATCACAGATTCAAAAATAGTTTTAGGTCAGAAAAAACATATCCAATCTGTTGGTTGCTCAGATAAAGGTTAAATATAAATAAGAAACGTTCAAGAGAAGAATCGGTCCAGATATGACCTAACAAGACCTAAAGACCCAGTTACAAAAACAACGGTTTCAGAACAACTTAAACAAAAGCTAAAAGAAACTAACACCTTTACAATGCACAACACAGACAAAAGAAACAGCAATGGATGACGAACGATGTTCTGAACCTAATCGATAAACGCCGAGAATATAAAATTCATAATCGTGACTGATACAAAACCATCCACAATGAAATTCAAAATAAGCGCAGAATCGTAAATCAAAAATGGTCAAGAGATGAATGAATTACAAACGAAGCGGGATTCTTAGTTTGAATGGGTGAGTACTGGTCCAAATGTCTTACCAGGAAACGAACGAAACGAATGCTGCAGCGCTATGTTGGTATTTTCAAACTAGCAGAGAATAAGACCGAAGTGGTTTATTCAACACCATACACGCGTCAAGGAGAATACCACAGGAGTGTTGAATCCACTTTTGTAACGTTAACAAAAAAATCTAATGCCAAACGCTGCTCAGTCTTGGAACAAGAGAAGCTCTCTTTATCATGCAAGTACTAGTTGAAAGATGCTTAGATATGAATAGACCAGTATACATGTATTTTATAGACTATGAGAATGCTTTTGAAAAGGAACAACGTTCTAAAATCCTACAAAACCTTCAAAACATCGGGCTGGATCAGCGTGATATAAGAATTATAGCTAATTTATACTTCGGGGCTTCGGTTCAGGTGGAGAAACGTATATCGGATAATATGGAAATTCAATTTAATATCTACTCTGAGGCTATTTTGACTGAGGCCCTATCTGAAAACGAAAAAGAAATTTATGTAAATACATACAGTATCATTGAGCAGTTCCTCTGAAAATCTGTAATGGTTGTTATCAAAAGTTAACAAGACTACTAATACCAATGGTCTAACACTAACTCCAAAAAAGAGCAAATTTATGATTGACGGCAAGCAAAATATTGGAAATTGTTAATGGGCGAAGAAATAATAGAAAGAATGGATCACCATGAATACCTCGCCTGAACAGTGAACAGTGAATGGGATAATTGCCAGAAATTACGGATTCGCATTGAAAAAGCCCGTGCATTTATCAAAATGGAACGTGTAGGCAATTGAATATAAGTTTAAGACTACGCCTGGCTATAGGCTACATATTTCCCATTTTGCTTTACGGATTAAAGGGATGGACATTGTTAAAAAAGTGAGTTTATTGTCGCATTCTTAGGAATTTCTAGACTGATAGAGTACACAATGCTGATATCTTTTTGCCTCTAAGTACAAAGACCGAAATCTTAAACGCACATGTTATGAGCGGCGAGAACCTTCAACTAATAATAAAAAGTACACGAACGATCCTTATTTCACGCAGCGGTCTCCAAAATACGGATAGCCAGAATGATCGCTAACAATAAATAGAAAACGAGACCAGAAGAAATTAACATGATAAATGGAGTTATTGCAAGCTCTGATCTTGATCTCATTACTTACTTTTTTTAAGTATTGATAACCTCTTGCAAGCAACTAAAATTTTTTTTTTAAATTCGCCTTAGGAATTTAGTTATTTACTATAAAATTTAGTAACATTCGGTACGGAAAAATAAATTGATATTTTCCATGTGAGAAAATAGATTTTTTAGAAAAATCAGATTAGAAGAAATGCAGAAAAAGTCAAAGAAAGGAATTGACACAATTTCTTCGTACACTTTTCAAGCATATATGATTGAAAAAACTGATCTTCATTTAGTAATAAAAATCAGAAAATGAAAAATTTGCTATTGTATCAGACATCGAAAAATTGCAGGTCGGTTCTGGTAGTCCAGCCAAGTCCTATTCGTGGAAAGAGCAGGGATTTACGCACTGCAGCGCGTCTTGCCTTGGAGGAGTGCAGGAACTGATCGTCAACTGTGTCAGAGACGATAACCAAAAAGTCACATCTCCGTTCATGTGCCCGATCGAGCTCAAACCGGAAGCGATCGTCAGGTCTTGCAACGAGCACTCCTGTCCACCAAGATGGACGTATACCGAATTCTCACCATGTTCGCAAAGTTGCGGTATGGGAATCCAGACCAGGGACGTCACATGTATTCACGAACTGACTCAAGGCGGGAGTAATACTATCGTAGTGCCCAATAATAGATGTCCCCAACCGCCACCGCTCGACAGACAGTTCTGTAACGTGCTCGATTGTCCTGTAAGGTAAGTGGTTACGTTATGAGCAGTGTAGACTGTAAAGCATTTATATATTATCGAAGCATATACAGGGTATCTAAAGCGTTGAAGATTTAGGTTGTTGTCTGTACGTGACTGTTGTGTTCTCTCATCAAGTTTAGCTGTAGTATGATGTCAAGCTCCAGGATGTCAGCTCCTAATTTTAAGTATATAATCCTTGCCGCTTGCTCGTTCTCCTCATCTTATACAATTCGTCGTTCGAACAGGCCGTGTGGTGCTTGAAATTGTCCAGTTTTCAGGTTTGCCCACCTCATGCCTAACAAGGTGTAGGTTATGCGTTTCTGCATGCTATTAATGACTGAGAATCGTAGCCAATGTAGGCGAACTTCCTCTGTTCTCGAGGCGTCGATTGCCTTTCTTCGCTATTTCCCTCTAAACACATCTGCCCAGTTTTTATTCCCTAACTTGTATAAAGCTTCTAGGCAACTTCTTTCGGTTTTGGAAGAGCAACGAGGGTATTGATGTTTTTCTGTTACCTTTCTGCAAGCATTCTTGCACAGATCACAATGGGATGCGCTTCCGCCTCCAATATGCTTAGATAGGTATCAAGGTAGATGGTTATTTCCGTCTTTGAATATTCGCCCTAGATGATGACCCCAAACCTTCTTCCTACTTCTTCTCTTCCTTGCTAAGCTGGTTTATTTGGTAGGGCAAGTTCATTGGGAGTTATGCCTGATATCAGCTCCAAAATGCTATACGTTTCTTGATACAAGCCTGCGGCCTGTCGAGGGTCACCTATTTAGGTTGTAGGTTGCATACTTTGCCTGGAAGGAAGTCCCAGTTAGGGTTGTGACGGGTGTCAAAAAATTTAAAGTGCATTTACCTAGTTTGAGTTATTTTTTTACACCGTCTTTTAGATGGAAAGTGTCGGAATGGTCCAGGTGCACGGAACCTTGCGGCGGTGGCGAAAAGACGCGTAAAGTCGAGTGCAAACAGATCATGGCTCAGAACCACACGGTCGACCGTCCGCCAAACATGTGCCCCTCGCCGAAACCGCTGGAGAAGAAACCTTGCAACACCAAAGGCTGCGTCGTCGAAACCGACAAACCGGACATCGACGTCATGGACAACAGTTACGTTCAAAAAGACCCCAAAAAGAAAAAAATATCGATAAAGGTTGGAGGATCGGCCACCTTGTTCTACGGTACCACCGTCAAGATCAAATGCCCGGTGAAGAAGTACGACCGGGCGAAGATCTTGTGGAAGAAAGACAACGCGCTCCTTCCGCAGAACAAGAAGTTCAAGAGCTCGAAGAAGGGAGCCCTGCGGGTCCAGAGTTTGAGTTACTCCGATAGCGGGGTGTACACTTGTGTTGCTGGTAAGTGATGTGGGAATACTGGTTACATTATATCCGGTGCAATGTTTTTGTTCCAAGAAGTGTTGGTTACCTAATTTCGGGGACCAAATATTGTAGAAGTTATAACGTGTTAAAACCTCAAATTTTGAGGCCTTTCAAACTTTTTGAGCAATATTTTAGTATCATTCATCACTTCTACTCGATTTTCACAAGTTTCTGCTTCAACAGGCAAATCTGCAGCCAGCATAAAAATCTCCGTCACGCCCAAACCGGGCGAATTCCACTCCTCGGAAGAGATACAGAGGCTCTACAAGACGGAAATCGTATCAGATGTCGACATGTCCAAAACCAAAGGCACTCCTGTGTTCGCCGACGACTATTCCCACGAGCAGCGTCCAGACGGCACAAAAAAGAAGTTCACCAAGTTGTTCACGCCTACCACCGTTCCGAGTCTAAGACTCGAAAATATGAACCACCCCAATCCTGAAGCAAGCACGCCTTCGGATGTTGAACGACATCAGGTAAATCATTTTTAAGTAAAGAAACTATTTTCGAATACAATTCCATAATATAATTTTCATTTTGAAGACACCTTATGATTTTGCCATGTTAAAAATGCAACGGTATATTTGGTTCTGGGTTTAAATTTGACTACATCGCTGAATCATTATAGAAGGAGTCAAATTTCATTAAAAATATTATTCTTTAATTAAGCGTTAAAATAAAATTTACTTATTTATTAATTCTTTTATCGAGTTTGTTAACTTGACTCCCTTTTGCCTGAATATTAACTGGGATCTGGATATGTCATTGACATGTCGTCAATAAGTTTAGATGCGGCGTTTTACGGCAGTATTTTCTCAAACTATATTCAAGTCAATATGGCAAGGTCATTAGTTAAAAATTCATGATTGGACCTTGGCAAAAATGTTCTCCTGGTTGCTTCATAAGCATTTATTCTCTAGTAACTCTATGGTTTATCCAGTGGTGGAGTTGAGAGACCCAGGGTCATGATGTCATACAATATTTATATTATTATCTTACATTATACAGGGTCTTTTGTAATCGTATATCAAGAAATCTTATTTGTAATACCACACACATAGCCGATATTTTAATTTTGGTTTTCTCTTGATAATACACCCAAAAATCACCAACTTAAACTTCCATCTTCAATTGGAAAACACCCTGTAATCATAAAGTATAGTTTATTACAAAAATTTACTTATTATATTCGTTCGCTGGCCTTAAAGTGATTACTTCACAGGTCTCTAAAATGAAGCCAATACAAATTGAATTCATGTGGAACCTTAGCAATGTCGCTATCATAGGCCACCACAAAAATTCCTCTGTTGAACCATCAATTTTGCTAGTGCTTTATTTTATACTATTATTATTGGTAATAATTGCAATATCATTTTAGTACACGATACCTAGTTATACAGGGTAAGACGAAAAGACGAGTCAATCCGTAAATGACTCTCAAAAATATTAAAATTTGTTATATACCATTTTTTATTTCCGGGTCCGGTTTCTATAATAAAGATTAACTTATTTTAATAAATAACATTTTATTTTTTAAAACTTGTCGTATGTAATTTATATTATTATATTATATTAGTTGGTCATGCAAGAAATGTGATGAACGACCGTCAGTGTTTGGGTCCATTTTTGCAAAACAACAATACATTAATTATATGACGTGTGACATGACTATTAAAATTAACAACCCTCAAAATTCAAGCCATGCGGTTATATCTCTGAAAACATCTGATTGCTCCCAAACGCGTGGGGCAATATCCCGGAAATATCCGAAGTGGCTCGGATCTGTGGGACACGAAACAGACATTGTAAAATGACACTTTCCGCAAGCTAGATCGGTGTCTGATTAGGAATTTTACAGAAGAGCGTAGAAAAATTATGTTTATATTACATTTTCAGGATTTTTACGTTTGTCATCAATGTATTCGTGTTGTTTTGCACAAATATACCCAAAAACTAACGGTCGTGAAAATTTAAAATCACTCCGCATATGCCAAATAAACTTGTGACTCTACCACTCCACCACACCTGTTGCATAATATACTATTACGTAATATATTTGTGTAAGAGCTGTTGATAGATATAAGCAAGTGATCAATTGCTTTTGGATGGGATTATACCTACCTGTGTGTAATATTCTTTGGTTTGGTATACTACTTAGTTTAAGTTCATTAGTAACCATTCTTATTTCGTATGTAATACAGTGTGTGCGAATTATGCAAAATATGTGCGAGTCAAGTGTATCTCAAGCCGCCCAAATGTAGAAAACACTATTCTATTGAGACTAAAGGAGTTATAAACAATATTTATTTGACTCTCATTGAACGTCGTCAAGGAAGCATCTTTAGAAGAAACGGCCACTGTATAGAAAATTGTGAATAATCCCATCTCAGCGACAAAAAAAAGAAGCGATGCTGACATTTTCTCGAGTGTAGATGAAAGTGATCAAGATATAATACGGCGTAAAATTTACCAGTTAGACGAGGAACGAAGCGTGCCTACATTAGATATCTTAATTAGGAGGCTTGAAAAAGATGAAACCGGTGTTAAATGGGCAGAGCTACCTTATGGAAGTGTGTTCAACACATGGGTTTTAGATTTAAAAAAATTGATAAAAGGCAAGTTTTAGTGGAATCTTTTAGAATTCGGAAATGGCGACTGGAATATCTAGACAAAATTAGGATTTACAGAGAACAACAAAGGCCAATTATTTACTTGGATGAAACCTGGTTCGACACTTATGATACCCCGGAAAACTGACTCAACTGATAAGTGTAAAACAAACGCGCTATCAAAAAGAGGTAAAAGAATAACTATTTTGCATGCTGGCTCTAAAGATGGTTGGATTCCAAATGGACTTTCTCTGTCTGCGAGAAATATTAAAGATTCTTCTCTGGATTACCATGAAGATACCACCGCTGATTTATTTGAAAGTTGGTTTAAAAGCAAACTAGTTCCAAACATTCCTCCTAATAGCTTCATGTGACACAAAAACAACAATCCAAAACTACTGTATAATAACGACATTTAATTTCACGAAAATTATATCAAAAATTAATTGAAATTAATTAATCTTGAAATTCTAGGACATACAGTTTTAAGGCGTCCTCCTTACCACTGTATATTTAATCCCACTGAACATGTTTGGCACCAACTGAAATCTGCCATTCGTCGTAGCAATGTTTTTCCCCGTGTTAACTCCAATGTCCTCAAACTTATAGAAACCGAAGTTTTTAATATCCCTCCACAAAGTTGGGAAAATTTTCTTGAACATATAGAAAAAGCAGAACAATAAATAATAATAATAATAATAAGAACAGGCGTAAAAGTAATTTAAGTAGGTAATAAAAATAATTTATAATTTTATTTTAGATTTAAACATAAATACATACATAAATAAATAAATATTGTTTAGTATCTTTCCTAACAAAACCCCAAATAGTTAAATTCTAAGCAAAGTACGGACCTGTTCGGCCATATTTCATTCTTACAACTTGCCCGCGTCTTTCCTTAATTCGTATCAGTTAGTCACTTTCTTACATCTATGAACAGACTTTATCATAGATACTACACGCAAAAATGAAAAATAGCTTAATAAAGATTTCTGTATCTGTTGCCAGTCTGATCCAATATTTATCGTTCACACCAATAATTAACTGATATCTCAGGCTTTTGGGTTTGTTTGATGCCTGGGATCCTTTTCGATATATTTTTAGAAATCGGCGAATATCGAAATAAAATTCCTTTATTATTTTCACTCTCTATATTATTTATGAAATTAACAGGTAATAAAATTAAACATCTGACTTTGAGAAAGAGGCACTAATTTTTGCCAAAACTACTGGCTTACATATCAACGAACGTCTTTGATGGGCGTGTGTGTTAGTGTGTACGTGAACTTGACATTTAGAGAAGCGTTGACCTGTACCAAAATTCATCTCTATATCTCAACACGTTTTTGATATAGTCTAAATAAAATACACCCAGACCCATGTCCTTATAAACCATTTTTCATATTTTTAAATGTAAAATCTGTTCTTAAATTGTTATTTGTGCTTAACGAAGCAATTCCGAAGCAAAATTAGACGTATATATAAGTCGGGCCACTCTGTACTTAATAAAACTGGCGCTTTACCGGCGCAAGTGCCAAATTTTCGTATATCTCGCGATTAGAAACTTGTCGCCGCACCGAAAACTTAACTTTCCGTCTCCCGTCATGCTGCAATAAGGATAAAGCTCTAAACTTGCCGTCGAGCACTTCGGAATTTTTGAGCACGACGGACTACGAGAGCACCCGAAGTTCGGCAACTCGTCCGACGCCCAACTTCCTGCCGTTAATCTCGAAATTGCAGGTTAGAATGTTTAATGTCGTCCTATAGCTCGTGGAATCGAGTGTTGCATTTTTGGTTTGGTTTTGTTTCCGCGACCCCCGTTTTGTACCGTGGTCCGGAGCGAGTGCTTTAATTAGTTGATTGAAAAATGCACGCAGATTTTTTTAGGTTTTTGTTTTTATCCTAAATGTAATGAGAGGACAGGGATTGCATCGATTCCTTTATTAAATGAGAAATAAGCGACACCCACAAGGGGTTTTGTTGATAACAAAAAAAAAGACATTTTAATTAACGGAATCCGCATTAGAATATCATTTTAGTAATCCAAAAGCAATAATTATGTTTATTATTCTTTCTTTTACATTTTCGCGCATGAGTCACGCTTGGAAAACAGAACAAAGTATAAACGTAGAAATATCACATTAAACCATCAGCTACAAAAACATTCCATATTTTTTTACGAATTATCCATATTCTCCTTTTTCATCTTCAAATGGTGTAGCCGATTTTGATATGGCGGGAACATTTGCAATTGGAGTCTAAAAAAGTTGCTACGCTATTCTTTTGTTCTTTATATTTAGACTTCCATTTTGATGCTTATTGTGCCAAGTTAATCGGCGACATTATTAATGAGGGAGGCAGGAATATTGGCCGTTTCAGAGCGGCGGTGGCACCTCCAGGGGACACAGGATGGTGGTGTTCCCTCCCGATTACGAAGTCTACCGAGGCGTCGACGAAGACGTCCGAAGTCTCGCGGAACGGGAACCGAAGCTAGTCGAAGACACCAGTAGCGACAACGCCCGTTTGGATTGGATCATCGACGAATGGTCACGGTGTTCGGAAACCTGTGGTGGGAACGGGTTCCAAGTGCGCGCTATCCGTTGCACCATGACGATCCGCAACATCACCCATCACGTTGAGAACGGCCTTTGCGAAGACGCGGGCCTGAAGATTCCGGACACGAGCAGGAAATGCGGTTTCGAAGAGTGTCCACGGTGGATAGCGTCAGAATGGGGTCCTTGCGGCAGATCCAAGTGCTTCGCCCGGCATAAGGGTGAGAATATTCAAATAATTTCTACCTATGTCTCTCAAAATATTTTAATTAAATCCAAATAATGGGATTCGCCAAAAAATTACTTTCCTAAATAATAACCTTGCTCTATTTATAGATAGACTAAAACTCCCGATTGTAAGAATAGTAAAAAATCTCTACTTAAGGCTTGATAATGACTTACGCTTCAAAGCCCACGTTACATCGATATTGCAAAAGGCATATTTTGCCACACGAAAATTATTATATGAATCCTTAGTCCTGTAGTTTATATCAATATAGTATATTACCCTTTCCTTGATGTGTATACTAGGAATCAATTACAAAAAGTTCAGAATGGTTGTGGTACATCTGCATCTTATCATTTGGCGGAGTTTGTCAGTAAAGTACTCCTTTACTTCGTTACCCTTCCATATTGGCGATGCCAGGATATAGAAATCACCGCGAGTTACGGAACTTTTTCTATTTCTATTTTTCTATTCCTCGTCATCGATTAGCCTTGTTTTGTCGTAGCTTTATTTACCTTCCCTTTTTTATCTAACCCTTAAAGGCTTTCGTAGAGAGAGCAAACTCGCTTACTAAATACTATTATTCAAATCTTCTAGATTCCTCCTGCGTCGGTTTCTTATAAATCAAACTTGATGTACTACTCTGTACTTGCTTACACATTGTTTGAGAGGGGGCAGAGCTAAACATTGTCTTGCATGACTGATTCCCATATTGCTGAAATTGAGGCGCGGTTAAGATTGTTTGGTTGCTTATAGATTTCTATGGATTGTCGGATTTTTCGTTGTTAGAACAATTGATTATATGCAAGAATTTTATTTTTATCGAATGAGAGTTTATGTCCGGTTTCATGATTGTCTTCGGCAAGTGCCAATGAGTTGGTCGAATTTAATTCAAAATAACTTACCTTATTCAAACACAGATGAAACGGCAAATTTATCTTTAAAATAGAAGCAACATTATACTTCATTACAAACATAAATTTTTGAATTGATTTCCTGAATTTACGGATTCTTCATACTTTATCTTTTTCTTGCGTTGTGCCATCATATGCTCTCCTATTTCTCATGATGGCACATAGTACGCAACCTGCTATGCAGTTGTAATTTTGATACTTCTACACGGTTTGGCACATTTATTTTAGAATTTCTATTTATTTGAACACACGCTCAGTATCAACTAAGACGATATAATTTTACGAATAAAATTCGCAAATAAAGTGATTTTCCTTTCAATCCACCCTAGCATATTCTTCCATATTAGCAGTATTGCAGGATTTTGTGACAGTTCTGTGAGGCTTGTCTGTGATTAATCAACAATGTCAAAATTAAATGGACAAATTTCAGTTTTGGAAAAGGCACGTATTGCGTCTGCTGGAGTAGCACATTTTAGAAAGACACTTTTAAAAAGACCGGATATCTGAAAATCTATTACCACCCTACTTGAATTGAAGCCTATTTAGGAAGAGTTCTTCTGCCATCCAACCTTTTTCTTGGCATAATGCTTTGGAGCGTTGTCCATAAGTTCGTTGTTAAATTTTTCTAATGCAAAGATGAAAACTGGTGGCACAAATATGCCCATTGCATCCCTAACGCATATCACTACTTACGGCCTTTAGTAACAAACACTTTTTGAGGTCTTTTTTTTATAGTGTTAAGTCCAGATTTATCAACATTGTATATGTTTTCTAGTTTGAAATTATAATCACGAAGGGTCTTTAATGATGTAAAATACGATCTGATGTTTTTTTTTTATTAAATGCATGAGCTTGAGCAAATAACGTATTTTTAGGAATCCCTGAAGATATTCTCGGATTTCTTGTCAAAAAACCTTTTACCCATTTCTTTCCAGCAATCTGCTTGTATCGGTTAAGGTGATGACGTCAGTTGTTCACCGTTGCCAATTCGAAAACTAGTTGCTAGTGCAACCAAAAAACCTTGTTTCCATTTCCAAATTATGATTAGAGATATTAAGCGTTCCATCGCTAAATACACTTCACCACAACCGTCCAATGACAGTGAGTCCGAAAACAGCCCCACACTTGCCACTGTTATCCTTCCCGACATTCAAAACATCACTCACCACATATCAAAAGGTCTTAAGAAATACAATGTTAAAGTTCCGTTTGAGATATCAGTCATCCGAGATATGCCCCTCTTTAACTCCACCCTCTTCAAAAAATATGAAAGCAGGTACATCCTTACACCGTTATCCTCGCTTGTTAAAATTCCCGTTATAAGTAAGTTTCCAATAAAGACCCAAAATAAAAAGGAAATAAATAAAAAATATGGCGATGGCATGTAATAGCGGATAAATAAAACTGTTCGTAGCCTGCGGAGGACAAAAAAGGAGCAGGAGCATGAGTTTTCCGTCTCTTATATCATTACTGTATTGAAAAATGAAAAGAAATGAAATTCTTAAAGCGACTTTAGCGACCAAAAATGTTTAAAAAATTGTTTTTTTTTCTTCAGATTTCTATCTTACAACATTTGAATGTTATTTGTTGAGATTATAGCCGTTGAAAGATTCAAAAGTATGCAAATTTAGTACAGGTTTTCGCTTATAAAGAAACGCAAAACAAGAAAAGTGATCCTGTTTTACCTCTCTAAACAAAATATCCTTATAGCCTTACAGAAGCGGACGATAAGCTGTCAAACGAGCCTTAATCAGACCGTAGATATGACCAGATGTGACGCCAGCAGGAAACCGATCCAAACGCAGGAGTGTTACCATCAAAAGTGCGTCGGAAAATGGAAAGTGGGGCCCTGGTCCGACGTAAGTCCTGATTCTTTTAATGATAATTTTTGTTGTCGCGTACATCCCAATCGTCTTTAAACACGTAAACCTAAAAGTCAACAGTTGAGAATTTGCTTGTACGCAGAATTAGTTTTAGACCGGTTCTAAACTTCAATTGGTTAATCGTCTTTTCTCAGTGTAAACGTCAAAGTTGAAGACGTCAAGCCAGTTTTATGTCTTATTTTTGGTTTGGTTGCGTCGTTAGCGTACAAATTCTTTCCTTTGTGTTTTTTGGTTTATTTGGAGTAAATGAGAAATAATGAAGTTTCTAAAGTGAAAAATTGAAATTTGAATTTGAATTAGTTCATCCAGTGTAGACTACGAGATGAATGAAACACTTTTACCGATAACTATAAGTATATTGATCAACACACTGGGATCCGCTACATGCAACGACTTCTTCTAACAGCTTCCCTAGTCATACATTTTATGACATCAAACTTCTACTTGTCTAACGCGAACCACTGGTTATAAAGAGCAAATCTTAACCGTAAATCGTAACCTAAAAATCAAAATTATTTTGAATTGCAGCACGGTATAGTGACGCTAACTTTTTTCAGCATTTTTGGAGAGTTTATAAGGTCTCAATTTTGGAATGGTATTTTTCCTAAAAGTCCGCGTTTTAAAATGAAAACATTAAAAATTCCTTTAATCAACTACCTATTAAAAATATGTTATTGGTTATCACATTACACAATCATAAGACAACTTTCCAGATTTCCCATTTCAAAATATTGTAAGAAGAAACGTTCAAATTCAAAATAATTATATAAAAATTTTGAATCTGTAATCCGAAAACGAAACAGCTCAAGAAAAAATGTAGAATTTATTATTTGCTAGTAACCATATTATTTTGATGGTTGAAATCAGTAGTTAAGCCGTATTAGAAGCTTTTACAGGCTACAATAATCCTATTTTCTTCTAAGGTAAACCTTGCGATTAATCCACCACTTTACACAAGTATGCGTATATCGCAGCAAACTGAGATCGCTACTTGCAACATTTTGCACCAGACTTGGCTTTCTTAGTCAATCGAGTCTATCGAGGTATTAGTTGTCTAACCTGCACCACATCCCAATAATCAACTACCTGCAAAAAAATATAAAATTATTGCATAGAGTTAGCACGTTATACAATCATCATAAACCACCTTTCCAGATTTTTGCATGAAGAAATATTGTAAAAGGGAATGTTCAAATACAAATAATTTATTTAACATTTTTTATTGCGTAATCCAGAAACGAGGCGACTGTGCAAAAAAATGTAAATGTAAATAAAATTACTAGTCAGTTGAAAGAAGTGGTTTGTTTTTTCAAGGAAACTTCTACAGACTGCTATGATACTATTCACTAATCTCCTGGATTGCTCCTGCTTCAGTAGTTGATAAGCCTATTTTCGCCAATTGTCACGTTAGCTTCTTCAGAGCTAAACTGTCAGATAAAGCTCCACATTCATCTAGTACAAAAACTGAAATTCAGGAATTATTTGTTTGATATTTCTTTTGAATCCAGTTACAAAACAATATGCATGTGATAGTTGAGCTGAACAGATCGGGCAAACTGTTTTACATCATCCTCCATTTCATTGCATATTCACCCCCATAGAAGATTTGTGGCACCAAATAAAATCAAGTGTGCGAGCAGAAAATGTTACTGATACTCCGAGTGTAATAAATTTAATTAAAACTGTAATTAATAGTGCCCCTGTTGAGAGCTGAATAAATGCAGGGGACCGGAATATAGATTACAGTATCTTAATTAAAACAGATAAGTCGTTACAGAATAACGACAGTACAAAGTTTTTAGATTTGTGTGTTGATTAAAATCTTAAATGGGTTGATCACATTGATAATATTCCATCGAAAATTAGAGCTTATTGTTACTTAATAAAAATTATAAAAGATAGTGTTTCTGTTGAAGTGTTAAAATTGGTATACCAGGCTTGTTGAATCAGCAATGTCTTACGGTTTAATGTTCTATGGACAAGCCTGTGACACACACACACACACACACAAAACACACATCGCACAAAAAAGAGCTATAGCTAAGCTCACAGTCATCCAGAGAACTTTTTCGCTCACTATAAATTTTGACGCTGACGTCTCTTTATGTGTACTGTCTTATTATACACACTAAAAAAAGAACCCGAATTGTTACAGAGACACAATACCCGAACAAAAAATTAAATTGAGCGACCTTTTTATAGGTTATCAATTCGTCAACAAACCCCTGATTACATTGGTATTAAATGTTTAAACAAATTGTATCCACTCGACCCTAACTCAACCAGTTACCTGTTAAAAAATCATATACACTAGCCGAATTTTTCAATTTTTTAACGATCGGAGATCTCCCGGATTGTTAGACTTGATTTTATAAAAGCTCTGTATGATATTTCTTTTTACCTTAAGTGTGTGTTTTTTTTACGTATAATTGTCCGTTACATCCTTACATCCATCCATCCATCTATCTATCTATCTGTCTATCTACCTATCTAATCTATTTACCTATCTAATTAATCATAATGACTACTCTCAAAATGAAACCGAATTAAATTTTGAATAAAATCGTATTTATTTAGGTAATTATTGATAAATATTTAGTGCCATTGCAATTTCTATTAGTACTAATGAGATTTTATTGTACCTAAATATACATCACATTATTTTAATATTTTCTCCGGATTAGTGTTCTGCATCATGCGACGGCAAAGGAGAGAAGTTCCGGATAATCCAGTGTGTGTGGTACGGCACGAAAAAACCGGCAGGTACCGCGTGCATTGACCTCACTAGACCCTCGGTACGCAAGTCCTGCAAGGGTCCCCCATGTTCCAACTCGACAGGTGCGTAACAATGTTATTTACCACCGAAAAGTTTTAACTCGTACGTCGACCTATCTTCGCTTTCATTTGACACTACCATTCGTCAGTCAAAACTAACCAATCTGGTATCTATCGCAAAGAATAAGTGCAGTCCGAAAGCTATCGGCGACAATGACAGTGTGGTTGGACTATGCCCACTGTTATTCATAAAAAAATATTTCGTTAGTTTTTTAATTTTCACTGTGGCACATGATTGGTTCTTATGTGATTAACAACATATTAAATTAAATAAATAACGAAACTAACAATAAAATTGTCAGTTAATTTTTGTGGATTACACCCTTTCCACAATAGTGTTGAACGAAAGCGAACACAGTTTGGCCAATATTTTACTGTAATTTTTTTTAGTTGAAATTTGCGAAGACCATTCGATGTTCTGCTCAAACGTGAAAGTGTTAAAGATGTGCAAAATTGTCAGGTATAAACAGCAATGTTGCCAAAGTTGTGCCGAGGACTGAAGATTGTTTCGGTGAAGTTTTTTTTAACTGGTTGTGCCCCAGAACAGTGTCCATTAGAAAAATGAAAATTATAGGTTATGTTTAACGAATTTCCTACAAAAAAATCTTCACGAAATGATAAAGAGCACTGTTAGCAATACCACCAAGTAGATATTGTAGAATTTATTTTCTTTTTAAATATACTAGTATTAGTGCCAGTTTTTCTACTGTTGAAAATTTACGCTGAGTTTAATACGTTCAAGGGTGGCGTATTCAAAAATTAAACTAATCGTCTCTAATTTATTGAACGTAACACAAAGTATTGCTAATCTAATGAAAGTTATCGCGGTCTTAAAGAACCATCCTTAAGCTACCTGTAACTACTGTGTCCAAAGGATATCCTTCTGGACAATTGCAATAATTCCAATGATATAAAGTAAATCACTGAAAAAATGAAAAGATGGAATGGGATATCCTTTGCAAGTGAGACTGAACCTTGCTGAATCCTTCTAACCTCAATTATTGTACATTTGGTTAAGTTCGCAACGGTAGTGTAATTTTTGCCACGATGGCCACTAGAACGAAGCTTTATTTTAAATTATCAAAATATTTAATTAATCAATTGTTAAAAGGTTATCTTGTTTTTTGTTTTAAGATATACAACTAGGCAATTAAAACGCGCTTTTCGTAATGAAACATTCCTAAAAATGGCTAGCTAGCAATATTTGTTGATGTAATTAGTGTTAAATTTAAGCATACCTTACGTTTTTGTACATAACATTTTTTTATGTTAAGGTACGGATATAAGGGATTAAGGGAATCCCAGATACAAATACCGTTTGGTGATGAGCTTGTTACACGGAATATAAAAAAATGTAAATAAGAACTTAGAAACTTATTGAAATATTCTACGTGCGCGATACTTGGTGTCTCTGGAATGTGAAGCATCCCCTGACATTGACTTTCGATCTGCAGCGCCAAATACTCTGTATATTTTGTATGATAATTCGGATACAGAGTCTTGTTTTTTTTTATATTTTGGTTTATAGATCGCTGTGACATATTTAAATTAATAAATTTTAGTTGGAATAGAAGCAAAAAAAAAGTATTTAAAAAAGCTTGATAAAAAACATCCGATAGCCGATATAAATTTATAAAATTTTACCTAAAAATTACATACGGCATTTCAAAAGTAAAGGGGGGTGGGCGATCCCTTCCAGTGACACCTCTTACTTTCAACAGGAATTATGTATCTGTTAAAACCATTTTATAACAATTTTGTTTGAGTGCCTATATTTCAAAATAAAAAAAATTGTGCCCGGTGTGAGACGATGTATGTTTCTCACGTTAAATTAAAACAAAATTTAGTATAGCTAGGTAACTTAACGCAATTGTAAAACAATTTAAAAATATATATATTACCCAACTTTATGGCCAAAATTAATTGTTTCTGTTGAAAATTTCAGGGATGTTAAATTGAAAATCAATCCCGAAATAAAGTATTATTACGTATTTTAAGCGAATGTAAAAAATGAACATATAAAAACCTTTAAGTGTACCTAAGAATGTAAATTAATTGCAAAATCCATTGTTAGAATAATAATTAATTGTTTTAATTAGTTTTGCCGGTAGAGCCGTTATCCAATTTATTACGTACTTATAAGCAATTCCTACCTATGATTGATAGATATTAAAATTACGCTATTTTTTAAAAGAAAGTATTATTGAACATTTAGACCGCAGTATTAAACACAAGAACGTGTTCGTTGAATATTTTTGTCGAAAATGTTCGCTTTTTCTGAAAAAACCTCATTTGTAAAAGTTATTTATGTTGAAATAAAATATTATCAAATTATTTTGGAAATTTTTATTACTTTCACAAATTATTACATATTGCAATATTTCTGTAAAAAAAATTGGAGGAGAAAAAACTGATACCTATCCCGTAGTTTGATAAAAAAAGAAGATATTTCGCGGAGAGAAGAAAAGCGAATACTTTGACAGTCAGATCCTTTGCATAACGTTTAATTGTTTACATTTTGGAAAATGAATTGCGCATGAGAGTGACATTTGCAATTTTTAGTTCCAATCTTGAACCAAATATAGATTTGACAGTTTTTAAAAGTCGTATATCGTTTCCAACTCTATAGCTACTACGGTAAAAATGATACGCTGCAGGCGACTATGATATTTTCGTAGAGTTGGGAATGGCATTGTCGTAATTTTTGTGGAAAATTGATTTTTTCTACTCCGTTCCGTAAAATACCTAATTATACACCGATCTAGCGTGCAGGAAGCGTCACTTTTCAACGTGAGTTTTTTGTATCACTGTATTCGGGTTGTTTTGCGAAAATGTCCCCAAAAACTAACTGCTGTAGAAAAAATATAGTATGCAACACGTTCGTTAAAATTTTAAACTCACTCCGCTCGTGTCAAATAAACTCGTGAGTCAAATGCCGTTCACCGCACTTGTTGCATAATCTACTATGTATTTGTAACACAATGTGAAATAATAATAATATATTATGCAACAAGTGCGGTAAACGGCATTTGACCACGAGTTTCTAATAAACGAGTGAGTAAAAAAGTTTACCTACGGCCGTTAGTGTTTGGGTGCATTTTCGAAAAACAATACATACACTGACGTAACCGTCAGAATTGACAAATGTCAAAATTCAAATCGTGGGAAATATCTCCGAAAACATCCGATTGCTCCCAAATCCGTGCGGTAAAATCGCGGAAAAGTGGCTCGGATTAATGGGAAACGAAACTGACGTGGTAAAGTGACGCTTCCCGCACGCTAGATAGGTGGGTAATTAGGTAATTATTATTATCTTACATTAACGTACTAAGTTGTCTAGCACTAACATTACGGTTGGCATGTTTATCCTTGTGAAGGGAGAAAATCGTGCTCCAATGCAATCACAGTGCGTATAACCGGAGGTGGCGTGATAAGAGTAGCGACGGTAAAAACGTCTCATGGTATTATTAAGCGTCCAGTGGTCAAGCTCTGTCCACTTCCGCTTTATTTTGGTGTTTAATTTGTGGTACATTTTCGTGAGTTTCTTGTCTCACGGATCCGAGCGACTTCGGACATTTCCGGAATTTTACCGCACAGATTCGGACGGTTTTCGGAGATATTTCCTACGCTTTGAATTTTGACGTTTGTCAATTCTGACGGTCATGTCAGTGAATGTATTCGTGTTGTTTTGCAAAAATGTACCTAAATCTATAATATTGTTTTGTTTTATACATTGATAAATTGATAAATGTTTTGTTACAAATTAAATTTCTGAACGCGACCATAATATTTGACATTAGATTTGAGAACCAACTAATATGTCGCACTTCAAAACACGTAAAAAAGTATTACGATATTGTGTTACGATATCTATGAGTGCGCTTTCTTTACTTTGGTGATCCTTTGTGATAGTGACATCCCAAATAATTGTGCTGCTTTTTATATTTTGTGATAGTGACATTTTACTGCTGTGTGAGCGAGAAATTTTCTCACTTTGATTAATTACAATTTACGATGCTGAGGAGAAGACCTGACTTAGGTCGTCGCAGTCAATCAAATGTGCGAAGAGCTACCTCACGTGCTAACCGCATTGATGACCAGAGAGAGACAGATCAAGTCGTATTGATATATCAGAATTGCGTTATTTAGTGGGTGGCAATGAGGTAGATAGGCCTAAAATGCAACCAGTTCGTGCACATCAAACACAACAACAACAAGCACGACATAATGAAATTGAGCGACGCAGTGCTCCTGTTATCCTTGAACGAGCTGCATTCCACTATGATCCGCCATTTGATTATCGGAAACAATTGGGGAAATAAACATAATTTGTAAATGTTTCAAAGCAATTGCAAGCCACAATTGGTCCCACCACCAGATCCTTTACGATCTTTAGTTTCTGCGATTGGAAATGATTCTAAGAACATCTTGGCCAACATTCAGAAATATGACAGCTGTTTCCAGATGACATCATTTGGCGCTACACATATTTGCAGTTAAAAGTAAGATCAGTTGTCATCATGCTGCGTAACATTAACCAATGGAGCAAGACTGGTTGTGAAAAAGCTGATGAATAACGTCATTGAGGCAACAATCATAAAAGGAAAATATGAAGGAGAGGATGTTTTGATCCCGCGGGTACCGATGGTTCCAACGGATTTACTATTCGATTTTAAACGCTTACAATTTCCAGTCCGTTTGGCCTTTGCGATGACCATAAATAAATCGCAAGGACAGTCGTTAGAAGTTTGGAGTTTCCCTGTCTCGCGCATGGACAATTGTCTCAACCTATACTCAATATAGGGGTTCCTTCTATAAAAAATAATTATAATTAATATCATTTCCAAATGTTTTTAATGTTCTCTCCTATGCGGTGCAACTTTTGTCTCTGGCAGAGTGGTTCAAATCATTTAGCTTTAACTTCATGCAGTTTACACATTTCCCAACATTTCCAGTACAATCCGCTGGTTAGTTTTTCACTACATTTGTGACAGCATTGTTTTTCAGAGCAATATCTAGTTACATAACCATCACAACCATCACAAGGTCGAAAAATATTTTCCCTTTTTCAGAAATCATTTTGAGATAGGTGGTGGGGCTTGAAGAATCCAATTTTCTTTGGTTGGATTGCGACACTGCTTTTTTGCTATTACTTGGATTTTGTCACATAATTATAACCAAGTTCATGTGCAATTTCGTTGTTCAGTCTTTCTAGTTCGTCAAGAAAGTCATCATTTGAAAAACCCTTCTGAATTGCAGCTACCATGAACATGAGTCTTTTTTTGGGACTCCTTAATTTCAAGATGTACTTTTCTTGTATGGCAACCTTTATTTTGCTGATCTTTGTCAAAACTTTCCACAATTATAGCGCCATTGTTGGTTTGCTTGATACCTATTGTTAAACATTCGTATCATTTATCTCGTTTTTACATTGTTTAAAAGCTTCTTTGGGGTCTGTGACATTATCGACACGAATAATTGTTTCATGCCTCTCTATCTGTTTTCTATACAACCATACTACTGTAAGTCCTTCCTTTAATCATTCTCGATCATCGCTAGAGAACATTCCAACTGTTTTATTTGCCAATTGATTAACTGTATTTAAGTTGTCAAACATTTGCTGAATGAAATTTTCGGAGAAATCCAGTATTACAGGCCTAATTTCATATTCATTAGGGTTTACTTGTCTGTTTTTGTAACTCTGCTCCATTTCTGGGCTGATCTCTGATCTCAATCTCTTATTAGAAAATTGTTATGTACTCATCTGGTCTTGTGTGTCTAGTATTGTTGGAGGTATACATAGCACCCTATTTTTTGCTAAGTTTTGGTTAGTTATTCCTCGAGCGGGCAATGATCCAAAAGAAAAGTGCCTTGTTTTTGGTTTTCCTTGTAATCTACTTCTTCTGCCGTCACTTGTACTGCTCATGGCGATGTTTATGTTTCACAGCATCAAAAAATGAAAATTACTTTACACCATATCACTTGAAAAGTTCGAAAATATCAAAGCGATTAGAAATACGATGCACGCTGCACGCACGCCTCACGATATGGAGGTATTCCTTACTGCAAAGTGCCCAAAAATCACGAAACATGTAGCAGTTGAATCTCTTTAAGGGTAAATCCGACAAATCAGGTGTGAGAGGAGCAAATAATTTCTCCATGGTTAGAAAATGTCCTCTCGTTAGGGCATATAAGTTATTAGGATCGCTACTGAAAGGTAACAACGAATGAGAATTCAGGACAGATTTAATCTGAACTAGAACAGTATTGAACGCTTGATGGGTAAGTACCTGCTCACCAACGAGTCATGCTATGTGGGTCTTCACAGACTTGACGGCCTCCCATAAACCGTCGAAGTGAAGACTTGATGGAGAGTTAAATTTTCAAAGAATATTGCCTCACAACTGCAAGCCGACTTCATTAGTGCGTCGCTGCATAGGCAAACACAACGGCCTCTGCGTACAATAAATCGACGTAATGCGACCTAGAAAGTCTGAGGTGAAAGGTCAGAAACAAGTTCAAGATATAAACACTTAGCGGAAAAAAATTTTCAAAGAAACTTCCACAATAATTTTTACAAAAGTTCTGGATTTTACTCTGTACATGCTTATATATTGTTTGAGGAGGGCGGAGCTAAATGAAGGACATAAACACCGTCTCGGATGACTGATTCCCAAATGGGTGACAGGTAGAGTCGCGGTTGTTATGTTTGAGGTTGTTTATAAATTTCTATAGATTTTCGGATTTTTCGATGGTAGAAGAACTGATTACATACAAAAATTTTAGTTTAATCGAATAAACTTTTATGTCCGGTTTCATGAGTGTGTTCGGCAACAGTTATTTGTCTTAGTCGTAAGGCTCTTTCGTGTTCTTTGAGTCTAGTTGATATTTTTCGTCCCGTCTCTCCAATGCATTCTTTACCGCATATGCACGGAACTCCTGGCATCTCAAATGGAATTTTGTCTTTCACGGACCGAAGATGTTGAGAGAAACCCTAGTAGATTTTCTTAGACATTTACAGTCTATATACCCACATACGTTTTTCTTAGATATTCTTATCAATAAAAAATCCGATACCTTAATGGTCACATCACCATCCGGTCGCAAAATCATCGGTTATCAACTCTCTTGTTTACAGAGCCTTACAACTATCTCAGCCCGAGTCACTGAACCCAGAATTAAAAAACCTTACCTCTGCTCTTCTCTCTAATAATTTCCACAATAAAGATATTAAGCGTTCCATCAAAAAATACACTTCACCACAACCTTCCAATAGCAATGAGGCCGAAAGCAATCCTTCGCTTGCCACTGTGGTCCTTCCTTACATTCAAAACATCACTGACATATCAAAAATTCTAAAAAAGTATAACGTCAAAACCAGATTTACCACTTGTCCAAAAGTCTCTCAACATCTTCGGTCCATCAAAGACAAAATTTCATTTGAGATGCCAGGAGTTTATACCATTCCGTGCATATGCGGCAAAGAATAGATTGGAGAGACCGGAGGAAAAATATCAACTAGGCTCAAAGAACACGAAAGAGCCTTACGACTAAGACAAATAAACTCATCAGCTGTTCATCATGAAACAGGACATAAAATTTTATTCGATAGCACTAAAATTCTTGCATGTAATCAGTTCTTCTACCAACTAAAAATCCGAGAGTCTATAGAAATGTATAAACAACTTAACAATCTTCGCCAAGAGTACAAAAAAAGATAATCTAAAATCTAAAAATCTTATCACCACTAGATCTAGACATCGACATTT